GAGTCATGAAAAAATGAGCGTCAGTTTTAATGTAGATTTCGATAGCCGAGTGGTTAGCAGCGTCAGCCATTCGAGCCCTGTCTCAACTTAAAAATTATAGAAAATTAGTTTAAATAAAAAACTAGGTTAATTTTTCTAATTGCGGTCACTCTCAGCCAGGGAATTTCAAGTGCTCCTCATAAGCCGCATAATCTGTAGCTCCCACCATTTTTTAAGCTCATTTCACGCTAGCTTATGTCGTCGGTGGATACAGTCCAAATTGAAGATTCTCCCTCTCTGTTGGAAAGATCAGTCGAGAAAGAATTCCAATTGGAGTCAAACGGAGAAGAAAAGAAACGTCTGTGGCATAACTGTTGACATAGTTATGACAGATTTGTATTTAAAGTTACACTCACTCACTTCATTTGAACATTCGTCGTAAGTTCAGTCCCAAAAAGCGATTGGATTACAGTACGTACTATGTGCCGGAGGGTTCGACTCTAGGTCGGATCATAGTCTAAATTTCTTTTCCTCAATGTAATCGCCCTTCAGTACAGGGTATTTCTGAAATTAAAAATTCATTAATTTTAGGCAAATTTAGAACAACAAGTCTATACAAACAAGAAGTCCATGTATTTTCTTTGTGTAATCGTTGGAGAAAGATGTCAAAAATGAAAATTATCTACTCCAAAGAGCTGACTCGAATACCCCGAACTGCATGCTTTGACTGCCGTATAATCTTGCATGCAGCGAGTGTGTGAAAAGCTTGAGTAAAGTGAAACTTGAGTCGTTTGACAACCTGTCCCGTTGGGGAATTTTTTGATTCAGACTTCGTCAATTAGTTCTCAGCTCAGACTATCAAATTCTATGGAGGGAGAGACATTTCACTCATAAATATTCTTAAATTAAAATATGTTCTTTGGCTGGCGTTCTTTCTGCTTGAATCATCTAGCCATACGGCACACTATGTATGTAATCAAAACCATTAATCTCTAACAGATTCATAATTATGCAGCACGCCCACACATTTACACCGTCATTTTTGAAAAGCAAAACAAAAACCGTAGAGTACGTCAATTATTTCCATAGTAAATCCATTATGCACACGCTTCAAATGAAAACAGCAACTTATTTACATATACACAAATATGTATGTACATAAGTATTCATATAATTAGTTCTGTAGTAGTAGCAGCGCAGGCTAATAAATAGAGCATTGAGAATTATTCTTGCAGGTACAAGAATTCTTCTAGTTCCTGAAGTTCATTGACTGTACGAAGATTAAACACTTTTCAATCAGATAACACGAAACGAAACGGCACGTCAAAAAATTTGTTTGCCACACATAAAAGCAGAAAGAAACTTTGTTAATTCATAGCATTACTTCTACCTGTTTGTAACGAAATTTCGCCACTTCAAGGCATTTCATACCCATTTTACATGTGTTTGGTGGCCTTTTATTGTTTCATTGTTTTTTTTTTAATTTAATTTTTTTTTTTTTTTTGTGCTTTCGACGTGCATGAAAATTTAATTTTGCTTTGCATTAAATGAGGGCGAAAGGTAAATAAAATAAATAATAGTATTTTAAATATAAAAATTAAACAATGGACTTGAGCGAGATTTTCAAGAAAAAAAAATTGGTATAAAAATAGTAAACTAAAGTTCTCACAAACAATATACTCGTATATACATATACATATATAAGGGCGACGCCAAAAACAAGAAATGGGCGGTGCGCTAATAAATTACTAAATGTACTCTTAATTACTAATGTATCGGAGGTTTATGAAATGTAAATAATTGTAAAAACATTATAATTCAAGCAATTTATTATTCTTAATGAGATGATAAAATTTGAAATAATTCTTGATAGAAAAAGGCCTCTTAATAACTTAAAGAAAAGCTATAAAAAATGAACGCAAATAATAATAATTTTTTTAATTTAACTTTAATAAAACAATTCTAAACTAATGTATCTAGACCTTAATAGTTTTAATCATTATTTATTTAATTATTAATTACTAAAAAAATGAGGCAAAATACAGAAAGTCACAACTAGGAGAAAAAAAGTACCAGGGAATTTGAATTTAAATAATTTTTTTTTTGGGATTCCGATGGGCAGCAACGTTTATAAAGGGTTTTCCAATAACAGGTGTTATTATGAATAGTCTGCTATTCCGGTAGATGTCACCTTTGAAGCTGTAATTTTTTGACATTTTACAAGTAAAAACTACGAACTGTACACGCATAGAAATTATTAAAATTCACTATAAAAACCTGCTGTAAGCCTAGCAGAGGCGGTTCGTAAAACCTTTTTTCGGTCACCGTAAAGCACCTTTTGGTGGAAAAAATGGAGCTGTTAGGAGAAGTTAGTGATGTGAAGAATGAATCACTTAGAATATTGCTGTGTAGTTCGAAGTGTTGAAGAAAACTCAGATTTTCTCGTTGTTCTTGGGAATTGGGCATTCCACAAACGTCATCATACCGCCGTCTTTTATAAAGACCCAAGTCTTATGGCTTATAAAGATCAGTTAACAAAAAACTCAAGCCGGTCGATCATCAACCACGTCGTATCTTTGCTGATTGGGTTCTTGAAATGCATGAAAATTATTCAGAATTTCATCAAAAAATCACATTTAGTGAAATAGGCCACTTCCACCTCAATGGCTATGTCAATAAGTAAAACTATCGCATACGGGGATCGGAAGTCCCAAAATTTACTGTTGAAAAGCCTCTTCTTCATCAACGTGTAACTGTTTGTTGCGATTTATAGTATGTTCCGGCGAGGTCATTGGGTACTACTTTTTCAAAAATGGGTCTGGAGCAATAGTTACGGTGCATGGATGGCTCTATTGGATGGTACTGATTTGGACAACGTTTATTTTCAACACGACGGTGCTACGTACCACACAAGCAACGAAACCATTGATCTTTTAAGGGAAAATTTACGGACCGTGTTATTTATCGAGGAGGTGATCGCTAATGGCAAATGGCTTCCGAATTCTTGTGATTTAACACCTTGCAATTTTTTCTTTGGAACCATGTGAAAGATAAGGTCTACGCCAATTAAGCCAGCATCGATTCAAGACCAGAAGGAAGGAATTCTTGAAGCTGTTAAGGGCATCCACTTTGCGATTGGGTGATGGAAAATTTCATAAAAAGGATACGATCCTATAAGCGTAGCAGTGGCATATCTTCCATCTTACTTTGAAATAAACATCCCATCATTTATCTCGAAAAATTTATGTTTTCCTTGGAAACCTCTTCACTATTTAGTTCAAAGCACTACGAAGGCAAGTTCTGATGATAAGAGGGAGATGATGTTTAGAACAATGGAAATATAAAGCTAAATAATGCCCTCGAACTTATTCATCGGGATGTTTTGGCTCTTAAAGAAGTTTGGGGGGTGAGCTCCATAGGAAAAATTAGAGCTGGTGCAGGATGATCATTCCTTCGCTAACCTTGCCTATGTAATGGGTGGAAGTCAGGGGTGGGTAAAGAATTGGGTGTGGTGCGCTGTGATCAATCCATTGTAACGGCTGAAATGCGAAAGAGTGTTGCAAGTGATGTTGTAAGGCAAGCGTACACCACAAGCGTGCTTCAGTCGTTCCTGGTGCTGGCAAACATCTTAGCATGCTATTTAGCAAGCTTTCGAAAATGTACCAATCACCGAGTTTAGCATTTATTAGAGTACAATTTTGCAATGTCCGAAATTATTCAACAACGATGTTCGATTAAGTTTTGTATGCGATATGGAATCGTAGAAAAGTGAAATCGTGATTGAAACTCGGCCCATATCGCGCCGCAACCAGCGTATGTATTTGTTTGATTTAATTCCATGCGACTTCAGGCTATTCTTCCAACTCAAAAGACCACTCCGAGGATACCTTTTCGAGTCCATTGGAGAGATTCGACGTGAATCGACAAGCTTTCCGAAGGCCAGACCTGAAAGTGCCGAGGATTGAACGTCGGTGTTAATGCATTATATCGAGAAAAGATTACTTTGGAGGGGTTGCAATGGCTTTGGAAAAATAAATGACTTTTTTATATATAACCATGTTCTTGCAGGTTTTTATCCACATTGGTATATGTACATATAAAATTGTGATTCGAAACAAATTAAAATTAAATTAATTTCTCTGGCTCCAGTCATAATTTCAGATATGATGGGGTACTCATAGCGGTACTAATTTCAGTATCCCCTGCCGCACGCTCCCTTTCCTAAAACTTCTTCCACCATTGTTCGCTCAAGACATAAAATACATACACACACACACTCACACAAATTCATACATGACTACTCATAAACAGTGGCAAACGGAAGACATTTAGTTGAAGTGGCAAAAGTAAAAGCTCAAAATCTTAAGACTGAAATTAAACAAAAGTGAATTGTCTTGCTAATGCGCTTTATTATTGTTGTTGTTCGTGTGGCTTTATGTTGCTTTATGTGTTTAATACTTTTAATTTGTTAATACTACTTGTATGCTATTGTTTTTGTTCTTTTTGTTTTGTGTAGTTGTTATTATTGTATAGCTTGCAGCGGATATTTTAAAGCAAGAACCGAAAAAAATAAATGTATTAAGAGGAATACGAAAATGCAGGTTTTTGGTTTTGCTCTAAATACGCCGTTAACATGCAGCGTGTCGATGTCATCTCACGCACAAAAAAAAAAGCTACAGCAACAATAAAAACAAGAAAAAAGTGTAAAAACAGCACAATTCACCTGTCATTCAATGTTGACAATCCTCTTCGCTTCGTCTTCGGTTTTTTTTTTGTATTTTTGATGTCTTTTCGGTTGGTGTTGTTGGTGTTGATGGTTGGTGTCGATAACAACACCAATAGCGATAATGATATTTGCAACAACATTATGATGATGTAATATTTCAAATGCGCCGACCACGATTCTATTCTTTATTTTTCTTATTCTTTTACACTTATAATTGACAAATTACATACATACATACATACAGTTGCAAGTACTTAGTTAATTTGAATTTTTGGTTTTTCTTTTCAATTTTTAGACCTACGTTAAGGCAGTTAATAGCGGTGTTGAGAATCTACAAGAAGTTCTACTTGCCGCGGAAAATCAAAAGCAACTTGTGCCATTAGGTCCACGCATTATTGCCAATACAACAAAGTCTTTTAAGACAATCGATTCGGAAGATATTGAGAAACGCTGTTTACTGCAAGCGGATGGACAACTCGTTACGGAGAGCAAGAAAACAACCGAACACGAAGTGATTGTTGACCGTGAGCTGCCTGAAGAGGACGATCATTCGACGGGTAGTCGTGAGAAAATAAAAACTGTTGTAAGTAGACTAAAAATACATGTGTGTGTGTGTGTAAAATATGAGAAGAAAGGAGTAGGGTGTTTATGGGGCGGCGAAGCGATAGAAATTAGTGAGGTAAATAATGGAAACTCGAATAGAAAGTAATTAAAATTGAAAGAATTTGAAAGAAATTCTCAACAATAACGAGGTAAACCTCAAGCTATAACAAAAAATGAATGTAAAAAATGTTTGTTGTATTTCTGTTTTTACTCCTTTTTTCCAAAAAAAAAAAATATTAAAAATAAAAAGATTTGCTTTTGTTTTTATTGCAGTTTTTTTTGTTCGTAGAATGCGCTTAACCTCATACCATTCAATTGATTTTCATAAAATTATTTTTAGTTTTAATTAATTTCTATTCATAATGAAAAATACTGCGAAATATGATAGCTTAATTAAATTAGTTAATTAAATTATTTAATGGAAAAGTATAGAAAAATTTTAAAAATAAAATTTTTTTAATAAAAATTTTCTTAAAGATTCAAATTTTTTTATAAATAAATAATTTCTTAACATTAAAAAATTTCTCAAAAGTTGAAAATTCAAAAAATAAAATTTTTTTAAATAAAAAAGTTTCTTAAAGATAAAAATTTTTTTATAAATAAATAATTTCTTAACATTAAAAAATTTCTCAAAAATTGAAAATTCTAAAAATAAAATTTTTTTAAATAAAATGTTTCTTAAAGATAAATAAATAATTTCTTAATATGAAAAAATTTCTTCAAAATATAAAAAAAAATTTTTATAATAAAAAAATTCCTTAAAAAAAATCATAATAAAAAATTTCTTAACCAAGAATAAAATTCTTAGAAATAAAAACTTTTTAATATTAAAAATTTCTTAATAAAGAATAAAATTCTTAGAATTAAAACTTCATTGGAAATACAATTTTTTTAATATAAAATAAAAAAAAAACATTTCTAAAAAATAAACAAATTTATAATTTTTTTTAATATAAAATCTCCCAAAAAATAATTTTTTGAAGGTCCCAGAAACTTTCAAAATAAACAGTATTCTGAGACTATTAAAAACTAGAAAAAAGTCCACTTCGGTCATGCCGGATGGTCTTCACAGTCATGACTGGCCATAGTGACTTGATAGCCAAAACGTGAATTCGCTGTATTTTGTTTGAGCTTAGAGCATATTTCGTCCTGACTTCATTTACTACTACACTCATTCACCTCGCTTCCTTATCTAATCTGAAAGGCAGAACTAACGGTTACATTTCTGAGGCCGATGATGTCAGTTAAACGCTCTAATGGAAGATCTTACTTACCCTGATTAGCTCTGGCAGTTCGTATTAGTTTCCCGAGCATTAGCTGAATGGTTAACAATGCGTACTAACATTCGGAAGGACAAGGTTCGAGTCCTGGCTCGACAAACATGAAAAATTATAGAAAATTTATTTTTCTAATGGCGATCACGCCTCGGCAGGGATCGTCAACCCCTTCCGACTTTATTTCTAACAAAAAATAAAAACCCTTTGGCCACTCTTTGTTTAAAAAACATCAAGACGCATGCCAACTAAAGGAAGGAATCACCCGAAATTCGCTTCAGCGGTTACACCACACCAATTATATATAAACACGATAAAAAGTAAAAACTCGGGGAGATCGTTCCAGATATTGATGGACATATAAGTTTAAAGAAGTATTGATTTGTGTCTTCACGGTCTTTCCCCTGATCATAGGTGTTTCAATCAGTTCGATGACGCTGGTCTTGAGTATATAACACAACACCCACCGTAAAAGCTTGTATGCGATATTGAGGAGGCTTTTTCCAAAATAATTGACACAGATCGTGTCGCCCCCAAATTATTGAATAGAACACGCTTAATTCTATTTATCAGCTCACCGCCGTTGCATTTAAACTGCTCATTCGATAAGCCATCCACTCGCGGACAATTGCTATTTCGACCACGTCTTAGTCTCCAGGTGTTTAATTTTCACTGCCACTTCACTTCAACAGGCTAAAAAATAGTGCCACCACAAATCAGACGCCAGATCGCCTCTTTGGGTCGAACATAAGTTTGTTCGGGTCTTAAAACTTGCTGTTATTCGTCGCCCCTTTCGACAGGGTGTCCTCCAGCTTCTCAAACTCATCATTTCGTCCTCTCGATATTTCAAATGCGATTTGCTACTATTTGAGCTCCCTACACGTACACGTATGTATCACTCTTACTTTCTTGGACGCTTTAGGTACGCAGGGATATATTATATTTTTAATAACATATTTATTCTGATGATTTCGATTCTGTTGATTTTTGTGCCTACAATATATAAGACACTTTACACCAACCCATTTTCTTTCATTTTCTTTTAGGAAGCGTCACAACACTTGTACAAACAACGCGACGAGCAGTACGTCGATAAGGTTGTTGATGGCAAAGTGGTGAATACCGAAATGAGATACGCTGCCGAAACGATGCAAATTGAAAAGGATGGCTCATTGGAACGACCTGGCGATTGGGATAGTTTATCGGATCGTATGCGAAAGTTGCGACGTCCGCATCCGAAGAGTGCATTGCAACAGCATAAGGGTAAGGAAGGGTATTTTTCAATCTATCGGAATTTTTTTTTTCGAATATGAAGCGGTCGTTTTTCATACGCGCCTCTTCCACTCTTCATTAGAGCTCTGTTATTTTTCTTGTTCTTGTTTCCTGTGGCAAAGGTGAAACAGCTGGTTGAATATTTTTTATTTCAGGAATCCCAGCAATCCAAAAACCTTGAAATTGTGTCACGCTTTTTTCAATTATTTGGGACTTCGTCCCATCCTCCCTTTATGTCTTAATGGCCCTTTGTTACACTGACAGTTCTATTTTTGAAAAAATTCTTCTTTCTAACCTTATTCTATCTCTAAAGGCATAACGTAACTTCCGATAAGGCCGCGATAGGTCTGAGTGGCACTGTCGATGTTTTACTTGGTATCAAGTGCTGAGCTCGATTAATAAATAAGAGTTCGGAGTCTGGTATTATGTTAGGAATCATAAGAATCTATTCTGGTTCACTTAATTCTAGTCGGCATTTGCAAATCCTCTTCCGTTTACCAAGTCCTTATTTATTTCCCCTTGAAACTATATTCTTTCATTTGTTTCTTTGAAGAAGCCACGCTACTGGCTGACCGCAAAGATGCACTAACAAAACGACCATTGGACTTCGATCGCGAGGAGGAGACACGCAAAGGTGAGACGATTAAGTGGCTGGAGTCACATTTTGGCAGTGAATCAACAGCTTCTAATGATTCGCGTGAAGATGTCGAAGTGAGCGGTGGCGGTGATATAGAACCAACTAAAAAGACTTTCTTCAATGTGACAATCAAGTCAAATCAAACGCAACAAACGCCGCCCGCACCTCTGACAAACGGGCATCGTGCGAACGGGAATAATGCGTATGAGCGAAGGCAATCAAAAGATCTTGTCATTGATACGCAGCCCACTGGGCCAAGTGGTCGCAGCAAATACTATCAGGGCATTTCGAATTGGACGGATCGCAAAGAGCCGGCAGTCAATCATTTCGCGTCGAAAGCATTTCGTGAGGACTTGCAAGAGACTGTGGAACGCAATCGACTGCGACGTGATAAACAGCAAGATAACCATTACCTAGTAGAATCCACGGATAACTACGTCAGCCGCGAGGATATTTTGCATCAGAAACAACGTCAGAGTATATCTTCGCAGTTTTTAGCGAAGAGCAACCGCAATTCCCGTGACAGGCTCGACGATGTGGAAGCGCCAATTGGTAAGCCAATAAGAGACACGAACGTACGTCACATAAGCGGTTCTCGTGGGGATCTCCGCTATAGTGGGCCGAATGCCGGAGAATCGGAGAATACCAAGCGTTTATTTACGCCAATCAAACAACAAAGTCAGGAACGCGATATGGAAATACGACGTTCACCGGCCGATTTTGGACCGAGTGCAGGAAAGAAATATGAGTATGGTGAAATGCGTAGTCGTAGCTACGAACGCACGCTGGAAGACACAAATCGCAGCGTTAGCTATGAGTTGCATAACACAAACTCACTTAAACCAATACCATTGGGCGAGCCACGTGGAATCTCACCCGAACGCGAACACTTTCAAACTAGCACGCTTGGTCGTCCCACAGTGCCACAGCGTCGTCGCGCTATCGAAAAGAAACTGCGGCAACAACACAGCGTGTCTCCGCCGCCGCCACAGAAAGTGCCATTGGATCGTCAACATGCGCATAGCCAACGAAATCTTCTCGAACCGCCGCCAGACTACTCGCCACCGCCACGTAGTCGCTCTTCATCACCGCAAGTAGAATATGTGAATGGTTTACGCAATCAACGCAACTACCGCAACAATATCGGCGAGCACACACCCATCAATTATGGACCACCAAGCCAATTGGTCGGTCAGAGTAGCAGCACACTCACCCGTAAACAAAATCAACGCACGCGCTTTGCGCCAACAACACCACAGGAACAAACGCACTCGCAATCGTACATGCGTCCTGTGATGGCGACACAAACTACACAAACAACAGCCTCAACCATATCCAACTCAACCGTCACCTCGCATAAGTCAAGCAAAATGGGGCAGGTGATAGGTAATTCACTACGCAAGCTCGTCAACAAAATACGCTCAGCGAGTGCGGAACGTAAAATGCGCATGAAATCTCGTAGCAAATCACGTGAGCAGTCGCCATCACCACAGGCCATTGATAAGGTTGGCAGCCAACAAGCCACTTACCAACAATATAATCTCATTGATAGTCACATCGGCGGTCAGGGTGGTGTATCTGGTGAGTCAGAGTTGGAGAGTATGCCGCAGGAGTCAGCTCAGCCGCATAAAAACTATATACATGCCGCAACTCTGGAGCGTAATGGGCAGTCACATGCCACACAATTCAAACGTGCCAACTCAGCGGATCCCTATGCTAATGATCGCACAGATACGGGGGAACGTGGTCCGAGTCCCAGACAACGTTACTATTTAGGTGAAGATCCGTATTCGAGCACTCTGTATGGCAAGGAGAATATTTATGTACCAGGTCATGTTGGGAAGCGTAAACAGGTTGCAGCAAGGCATAGTGTGGAGTCTGGGAATGTGGGTAAACAAGACCGAAACAACCGTGAGACTGTAAATGCTAACCGACGAGACGAAGGGGAATTCTACAAGCAGAGGTTAGTAAAAGTTTCTTTTACTATTTTATAACATTTAGTTCACTTAATAAATTAATAAAAATTTTGTGTTGGAGGTATGGGGATCATCATGCGTTAGTTGTTGGGCTCACGCTCTAAATTATATTTTTGTCCTGACACCCAGTACTAGTACTCCTACATAGCTGTTCCAATTGTTAGTTGATCTTAAGTGATCGTTGGGATCGTTGAGACTATTTCTGCAGCGGCATAGTGGATCATTCTGTTTCATATCCGCACAAGTCCTAAGTCTGAAATATCCATCGAGTTTCAACCTAACTAACCAAACCCAAACGACACCTCTCTTCTAGTCGTCAAGCAGTGGCTGCCGATAACTAGGAGATACTGTACAGTTCTTGCTTCGACTACAGCTATGCCAAGCTTCTCAAAGGCGTCAGTGAGCATATTGCTCGTAACCAAAAGAGACAAGGCTGCTTATTATATTGTAAGCATATTGAGTTCTTAAAGGCGATATCGAAAACCCAAGCTCGCTAAATCAAGGTCTCTATCAAAGAGACACATATACAAACATCCAAAGGGCCCTTCTCAGCCTTCGAAATAACTCTCTCACTTACCATCGCCGGCTGGAGACTTGGGCGGGAATGTGTTCATCTCCAAAGGGATTAGACTTCAATGTCAACAACGAGAAGGCCTTAGACTACATGATTTTTTCTAAACAGTTTTTAATAAAAATTAAATTTCTTATATTTTTCATGCCTTCTTCTTCATCCACTAACTTCACACTTACAGAAATGTAACGACCAGCACTTTGGGACGCTATCAGCGTACAGGTCAAAATTTCGCTGCTTCAACACCCAATTTGAATCAGGATTATCGCACGACACAAACGTTGCCACGAAAACTACACGACCATCAACAGCAACCACACCCACATCTACAACAACAACAACAACAACAGCAACAGCTACAAAGTCATCATCAGCCATTACATATGACTCAATCGTCCGGCTATCAGAGAACAGGGCAAAGGCTACTAACTAGCGGCTACAGCACCTTGGGTCATCCCGATCAACAACGCACGCAATATCATCAACACCAACAACAACAGCACAATATACAACCACAACCAGCCGTAATGGGACCAGCTAAGCCTGCACGCACTTATGCGAAAGCGCTTAACCGTAGTAAAAGTTTCAATGTACACGCCATGAACGGCAGTCACGATCCCAGTCCGATTTACATTGAGAAGCTTACCAAAAATAATTACACCAACAATGTAAACCAAGGAGGGCAACAGACTACAAGCAATCTATACGCTAGCCAAGCCTACAAATCAAATCCACATCTATACAGCGGTCCATCGAAGGAAAACTCACTACAAAGTGGCCTCAAAAGTCCATCCATTGTGAATCTGATAAGCCGTAGTCAAAAGGATTTAACGAAAATTGATAGTTTAGAGAATGAACAAGGTGATATGCTTGAAAAGAAGCAGACATTTATGAGCGGCTTACATCAGCAAGCGCCAGATCTCTATCGTACATTGCATGGCGACGAAAGCTACCCGACGCACGGTGCGCCAAATAAATATCATCAACTACGTCACTCTACTTCATTGGAGACACGCTCTCCCATTGAGATTAACAAAGACACTGCAAGTATAGTACGTAGGGATAGTTCATGTAATGATGGTTATGTGGCCAATGCTTACAGCAATAAGACAAAAATGGAGAGCGCGACAGCCAATCGACGTTTGCTCTATAAGGAAGATCCGGCGAGGCATCGTCGAACACCGGGTGCGACAATAATTTCTGTGCGTAACAATGAAATGGAAAAATGATGGTGATGATGATGTGTAAACGGCAAGGAAAAGTAGTTAGCTCAACAGTACTAATAAATATATGTGTACATATACTTATACTAAGCGATAGCACAATACATTGAGCATGAAAACTCGATAGGTCAAGAAAATTAAAGCACGCTATATACTCGTAATCAATCAAGAATCGCGTATAAAAGGCTTAACTTTCATTTGACGGGTTGCAAATAAAAATTGAAAGCCTATAAATTTAAATATTTCTTTGCACTCTATATATAGTAGGTAGATAGCACAAGCCGCTGGCACCAACTCGTAAAATCAGCATTAGTTAAAGAAAAGGCACCACAATCAATGCACTGTCCTCCTACGGCCGAAAGGAAGGTTGTAGTTTTTAAACTGACATTATTTAGTTAACGAGTTTCAAAAGAATACCCGGGAAGAAGAAAATGTTTTTTTTTTTCATATTTCAGCTTTCAAAAGTACATACATATGTATATAACGAACATCTCAACGAACATTGTATTACTTTTTAAAAGCCTTGGCCCAAAGCCAATTGGCTAAGCTAGCTTTCCCTGAGTAGTACATTACTTTCAAAACGACAATCTTGGTTACAATATGTACTGTCAAAAACACTGACAAATATGGCATAGATCTATTTGAGAAAGTTTATTGTACTCGCAAGTTCTTAAAGCAAAGCTACATTTGGTCTCTCTTCATATGTTCTAGTATAATTTTATTCTATTTTTACAGTTCTCATAGCAATGCAAGTAAACCAGCTGGTATTGGGTCAAGGCCTTAAGGATAATTAAAATTATTTAATTTCATTAAGCATTATTTAAACTGTTTATAGTTTTAACTTGCAGTCTAGACTCAATCATTCCACTTCAAAATTATTTCTACATTTTTTTCCTGTTGTGGCGCACAACATACGAGTACTTCAGGGGTAATTTTTTTCCTAAAACTTTTAATATTCCACTTCTGAGTTAAGAAAAGAAATTCCACTCATTCCCCAGCAATACACCAATTTGTATGCAAGCTTTTTGACTACAGCATTTGATTCACAGTAGCGTTTATTTTTTTTTTATAAACCCATTCACAATGGTGTATTATTGCTACTGAATTACACAGTCTTATGGCTCTAAGCGAGTTTTTATATATTATATTTGTAATATTTTTTCTAGTATTCTTTTGCAACTCGCTGACAGTAAAATGCAGTTACATACATACGTAAACACAACTGTATGCCATCAACAATGGCACTCAGTTCAAAATATATACAGAGTTTGGTAATAGCTTTAGTAATAAGTAAAAAATAATACAATTAAAAAAAATCGAAAAAACTAAAATTAAATACAAAAAATTATAAGTATAAAAAGATATAAAATATTGTAAATTTTATAAAAGCATACAATGATGTCTACAATATATTTTTAACAAACATTTAAATAATAGTGTAACGAATTTTTATAAATAATAAAATTTAATTTAGCGCAAAGTGCTTTGCCGCAGTTAAGCTTAATTCTAGTTATTCAAAACTTTACATTTATTTACTTTACAAACAATAAATTTATAAATAAATATATACAAACAAAAATATTTGTAACTAACATCTAATATGATTTAAATAAAATACATTAAACAATTCTTGATTTTTATAAAACATAATATTTTAAAGTACATGTTATTAATTTGCTTAAACATAAGTTATTGATTTATGTAAATATATACATTTATAAATTTTAATATTTATTAAAATTTCTTCAAAGTAAATTCAAATTTAACATAATTAGGTTAATTAACATTTTAATTCGTTACTAATAAATCGAGCGATGCGTTACAAATGATAAAAACAGTTAAATTCAGTCTTAATAAATTAACACTAGAACAAATTTGATTTATGTATTTAGTTTTATATGTAAAAAAAAAAAACTTGAAAAAGCGAATAAAGTGCCAAATCTAACAAAAACAATTTTAACGTTTTCTTTTAAAATATTTATTAAATATAAGTTTATTTTAAATATTTAATAAGGACCACAATAGCCGAGTGATTAGCAGTAGATCCTGTGTTCGATTTCTTAAATTATAAATTAAATATTAATATTTCTAATAAAAAAAAATGTGGCATGAGAGCCGAGCCGCAAAGGGGTTGACTGTTTCTTGGATGCCAAGCCCATTCGCCTTCCTCTCTTCTTAAGCCAGTCTGCAGCATTCAGAACCAACGACGCGACATACTCCAGCAGTTGTAAATTCTTATTAAAGATTTTGGGTATTTTCTTTCCTGCTACTAGATGGGGATCTAAATCGTTGTTACGACTGAAATTTCCTACTGTTGAGCCGAAAATACCTTCTTTGCCTACACAGGCGTTAAAGTCGCTTCCAAAAAGTTTGAAATTGTAGCGAGGCGGCGCTCATAATTACGCTCCAAAAGCTGATAATAGGCAGCATTTGTCACATCTTCTCTTCCGACGGGGCATGGATACAGATCGACGATCTAACCCCGGTTAGGGCAATAGTTAACATTAATTTAAGTGCGCCAACGGGGCAAAACCTCACAGCTGGTCTGCCCCAAATACTTTTCATCAGAGTCGAAATCAAACCTGGTCCGACGGACTATTTCTGCTGCGTGTGTCGGACCTCGTCGGGCCCGAAGAGATACGCGAACTATTTTAGCGGACTTATACCAGTGCGGTGCTTGATTTCTCCAGGGAAGAGGTTCAGGGGATCATCATCAAATCCATCGGCCCCACAAAATAAACATGCTGATGCTAAACCATCTCGGACCAGCGGGAGCAGAATTTCTCACCAAGGTCCTCACAATTTGTCTTTGACCACCCTCTTGATACCTGACGTGTGGAAAACGGACAGGATGGTCCCGCTACTCTCACCGGGGAAACCAGCCAACAAAGGAGTTATTTCGGCCGAAATCTCTTCTCTCTCCTGTAGCGAAGACACTTGAGACATTGCTGCTCCCGACCTTTGCTCTCCATGGCCTTAAGCAACACCGACCGTGCGCCCAAACTACCCTGGTAGCACTGGATCTGTCAAAAGCTTTTGGCACAATCAACCATTTAGTGCTACTAACCGACATTGAGGAATCCTCATTACCGCCGAGGTTGCAGAGATGTATCATGAGCTACCTGAGTGGTCAACAATCCTCGGTAATATTCCGAGGTGAAACATCGAAACCCAGAAAAATTAAACAGTTTCCCTAACCTCGTATTCCGATGATTGCGTCTGGCCAGGATCTGGACGACCTCTGTTCGAAAGAGAACTGCTATATTGCTGATCTTTCTCACTTCTTTACTGCACAATTGAAAATAGAGCCGACCAAATCCTCAGCAACCCTCTTCACCAGCTGGACAAAGGAATACAGACCTGAACTAGATGTGAAGGTCGATGACGTAAAAATTCCGACTGTAAACAACCCAAAGATATTGGGAGAAACACTAGTCAGCCTGCACTCCTTCGCTCCGCATATGACCGCAATTGCCGCAAAACTCCAGAGCCGCAACAAAATACTCAAAGCGCTAGCCTGTAAAAACAACGAAACTTCGCTGGCAACTTACAAAGCAGTTAATAGAAGCTGAACCTCCACCTATGCGCATCAGAAAGAGAGTGTTTCGACTTAAAAAGTACCGTCCAGCAACATGTACAGCAACCGATTGACAGGACGGCGAAAGGCACTGAACGCCATTTAATAGGAGTCAGTCAGACCCGCGTGACCTTGGCACAACGCAGGTCAGGATACTGTAAAAGTACAGGTTAAGCTCTTACTTATCCAGACTCGACCCCAGCATATCCAACATGCCCCTTAAACCGACTCATCTAACTCTCCTCTCCCTTTGGTTCAATCCCGCCGAAACAGGTTGTTTCTTGGGCCTCCCACTAGATGACCTCGGTGACTTGATTTATCAAACCTATATCTAAGCGGGGTTGACGAACCGCTTTAACAACAACAACAACGTGTTATTTTAATATAACCTAGCCTTAATTTCAAAGTTTCTTCCCTGATCTGAGTGCAATTCTATAGGCACACCGTATCTGGTAATCCAATTGTTAGTGAATGCATCCGCAACTGTTTTTGCTTCTTGGTTTGGGATTGGGTAAACTTCAGGCCATTTACTGAAATAGTCCATAACCACGAGAACGTATTTGTTTCCTTGTTTGCTCATAGGGAATGGACCGGCTACATCCATGGC